TGTTTGTTTGCCATTTGGACTTGTTCCTTTGTGAAATGTTTGCCCATTTCCCTTGCCCATTTCTTGAGTGGCTTGTTTGTTTTGGTTTTTTGGTTGTTTTGAAGTTCTTTGTATATCCTGGAAATTAGCCCCCTATCGCCTATATCATGTGCAAAGATCTTCTCCCACTCTGTGGGTTGCTTTTTTACTTTGTTGATTGTTTCCCTTGCTGTGCAGAAGCTTCTTAGTTTGATGAGGTCCCATTTGTTTATTCTGTTCTCAACTGCTATTGCTTTTGGTGTCCTTCTTAGAAAGTCGGGACCTACTCCTAGGTCTTGCAGGGTATTTCCTACATTTTCTTGCAAGAGTTTGAAGGTTTCTGGATGTAGGTTTAGGTCTTTTATCCATGTAGATTGGATCTTAGTGTATGGTGATAGATGTGGGTCTATCTTTTTGTTTCTACAGGCTATCAGCCAGTTGTCCCAACAACATTTACTAAAGAGGCCTTCCCACTTGCTTGGACTGTCATTGGTCTTTTTGTTAAAGATTAATTGGCTGTATCTGTGTGGGTTCCCTTTTGGTGCTTCTATTCTATTCCATTGATCTTCCTTTCTGTCTTTGTGCCAGTACCAGGCTGTTTTGATAACCACTGCTCTATAGTATGTCCAGAGGTCCGGGATTGTGATTCCCCCTGCTAACTTCTTATTTTTTAGGATGGTTCTAGCTATTCGTGGTTTTTTGTGTTTCCAGATGAACTTTTGAATCATTGTATCCAGTTCCGTGAAGAATGTTTTGGGCAATTTGATTGGAATTGGGTTTAAAATGTATATTGCTTTTGGTAGTATAGACATTTTAATGACATTGATTTTGCCTATCCAGGAGCACGGGATGTTATTCCATCTTTTGAGGTCTTGTTCAATTTCTTTTTTGAATAGTTTGTAGTTTTCTTCGAATAGGTCTTCTACACTTTTGGTTAGATTTATTCCCAGATACTTCATACTTCTCTCTGCTGTTTTGAATGGTATCCTGTTGTTTAGGTCTTCTTCCATCTTGGTGTTATTTGTGTACACTATGGCTGTTGATTTTCCTTCATTAATTTTGTACCCCGCCACTCTGCCAAACTCTCGTATAAGTTCTAGTAGTTTCTGTATTGAGTCTCCTGGTTTTTCTATGTATAGAATTATGTCATCTGCATATAGTGAAAGCTTGACTTCTTCGTTTCCTATACGTATGCCTTTGATTTCTTTTTCTTGTCTTATGGCCTCTGCAAGTACCTCTAGGACTATGTTGAATAGCAGTGGTGATAGTGGGCATCCTTGTCTTGTTCCAGATCTCAATTGAAGGGTTCTAGCTTTTCTCCATTCAGTATGATACTGGCGTTGGGTTTTTCATAAATTGCTTTGATTATGTTGTGCATTTTCCCATCTATGCCTACCTTGGCTAGAGTATTTAGCATGAAGAGGTGTTGGATTTTGTCGAAAGCTTTTTCTGTATCTATTGAAACTATTATGCGGTTCTTGTTTTGCAGTTTTTGTATGTGGTTTATAACATTTATGGATTTCCGAATGTTGAATCATCCTTGCATTCCAGAGATGAATCCTACTTGATCCGGATGAATGATCTGTCTGATGATTTTTGGAATTCTATTGGCTGGGATTTTGTTGAGAATTTTAGCATCAATGTTCATCAGAGAAATAGGTCTGTAGTTTTCCTTCTCTGACGGTTCTCTGTCCGGTTTTGGGATTAAGGTGATGTTGGCCTTATAGAATGAGTTTGGAAGGGTTTCTTCCTTCTCTATTGTTTTGAAGAGCTTGTAGAGGATTGGGGTTAGTTCTGTTCGGAATGTTTTGTAGAATTCTGTAGTGAAGCCATCTGTGCCTGGGCTTTTTTTCTTTGGGAGATCCTTGATGATTGTTTCAATCTCTGTCTCGGTTATGGGTTTATTTAATTCTTCAGTTGCCTCCGGACTGAGTTTTGGTAAGTGGTGAGAGTCCAAAAAGTTTTCTATTTCTTGGTGATCCTCAAATTTGTGGGAGTACAGTTCTTTGTAGTAATTTCTAATTATTTTCTTATTGATTGCAGTGTCTGTTATGTTGCCTTTTTCATCTTTAATGCTGTTGATTCTCAATTTCTCTTTTTTTTTTTTTTTTTGGTCAATCGGGCCAGTGGAGTGTCTATTTTGTTTATTTTCTCAAAAAACCAACTTTTTGATTTGTTGATTTTATGTATAGTTTTTTTTTATTTCTATTTGGTTTATCTCCTCCCTTGTTTTGATGATTTCTTGTTTCCTATTGTGTGTGGGACTCTTCTGCTGCTGTTTTTCCAGATCCTGGAGGAGTGTGGTTAGTTCCTGTATTTGGCCTTTCTTGGGCCTTGACATGGGCTCCGATTGCGATGAATCCACCTCGTAGCACTGCTTTGGCGGTGTCCCACAAGTTTTGGAATATTGTATCAGAGTTTTCATTGGTTTCCATAAATTTTTTTATCTCATCTTTAATTTCTTCTCTGACCCATTGTTCGTTTAATAGCATATTGTTCAACTTCCAACAGTGCCTATATTTCCTGGGGAATTTTGAGTTGTTGATTTCCAGTTTCATTCCATGGTGGTCTGAGAGGGTACATGGTATGATACTAATGTTTTGGAAGTTGTTTAGATTCACTTTGTGTCCTATCATGTTTTCGATTCTGGAGAAGGTGCCATGCACCGCTGAGAATGTATAGTCTGTGGCCTTAGGATAAAAACTTCTATATATGTCTACTAAGTCCAGTTGTTCTATTGTTTGTGTGAGCTCTGTTGTTTCTTTGTTGAGTTTTTGTTTTGTAGACTGGTCCATTGATGTTAAAGGTGTGTTGAGATCGCCTACAAGAATTGTGTGGATATCTATGTCTTCCCTTAAGTCTGTAAGTAATTGCTTTATGTAACTAGGCGCATTAAGATTCGGTGCATAAACATTAATGATGGTGATTGCTTCTTGATGGATCATTCCTTTCACCAGTATAAAATGGCCTTCCCTGTCTCTTTTGATGTTAGTTAGATTGAAATCTATCTCGTCTGAAATTAGGATAGCTATTCCCAGCTTTTTTTTCTTGCCTATTGGCGTGAAATATCTTTTTCCATCCCTTCACTTTCAGTTTCTTTGCATCCTTTCTGGTTAGATGTGTTTCTTGTAGGCAACAGATGGTTGGGTCTTGTTTGATGATCCATTCTATTAATTTCTGTCTTTTGATTGGTGAATTTAGACCATTTGTGTTGAGAGTTAAAATTGAGAGGTTGCAATTTTGCCCTGCCATGCGACTGTGTTTTGTGTGTGTTGTTGTCTGTGTAATTGCCTTGTTTGTGCGGGCTTTAGTTTGGAGACCTTCTTATTTGCCAACTTTGTTTGTGATTTGCCTTCTTTTTATCTGGGACTAGCGAATTTTTAAGAAGGCTTTGCAGAGCTGGTTTTGTGTAAACATATTCTTCTAGTTTTTCTTTGCTATTGAAGTATCTGATTTCGTTCTCATATACAAATGAGATCTTTGCTGGGTAGATTATTCTTGGTTGACAGTTGTTTTGTTTCAGGGCTTGGAAGATCTTTATCCATTCTCTCCTTGCTTGTAGGGTCTCTTTGGAGAAGTCAGCCGTGATTCTGATGGGTTTTCCCCTGTATGTGATCTTTTCTCTACTTCGTACTTGTCTCAGGATTCCTTCTTTGTCTTAATTGGAGTAGAACTTGAGCACCGTGTGTCTGGGTGAAGATCTCTTTGGATCATGTCTGTTGGGAGTTCTCTATCCATTCTGTATGCGGAGTGGTTTCGTGTTCCAAGTGTTTTGGAAGTTTTCCTGTATAATTTCGTCAAGCACTGCTTGCGTTCCTGATTCTCTTTCTACTCCTTCAGGGAGGCCAATGATCCGAATATTCAATTTTCTAAGGTAATCCTTCATTTCTTGCATCATTTTATTAGTTTTGCTGAGGCTTGTCTCCAGCTGTTTAACAAGCTGGGCACCTTCATTTTGCATGTCTTCTGTTTCAGAGATCCTTTCCTCTGCCGCATTTATTCTGTTTATCAGGCTTTCAATTTTATGATCTTGGGCATCCAGTTTGGTTTTGATTTGTTGTATTTCAGTGATTATGCAGTTCTGGAAGTCTTCCAGCTTCATGTCCACGTCTCTGAAAAATTTTAGCACTATTTTTTTAAATTCCTTGTCTGGTAACTCTTCCATGTCTTCATCTTGCATCTCCGATATTAATAATGGCTTTTGGCCCTTATTTGATGGGGTGCTGGCTCTTTCATCTGGAGCACAACTTTTTCTGGTGGTTTTTCCCATTGCGTTGGTGTATTTTGGTGAGGCCAATGGACCCGTGTGTTGAGGGGTCGTCAGGTGATTTCCTGTAGAGGTTGGAGCCTGCAGGTGTGGTGTTGCAGGGCGTGGTAATTTTCAAGGCACCGTTGCTGCGTTCTCAGGGCCCGGGACTATAGGGCACCACCTTGGGGGCCCAGTGGATTCCAGGCACACTCTGGGCACCTCTTCTACAGGTGTGACACCCCAGGGCGTGGAGGGATGGAGGCGCTCTCTGGGTGTGCCCCCTGCATGGGAATCCACAGGGCGTAGAAGGTTTTATGTGCTTTCTCCCTGCGTTCTCCGTGCCAGGGACTGCAGGGTTTTTCAGAGCCCACCTGGTGTGTCTCCCACACACGGGACTGTGGGTGAGGCACTTTCTGGGCGTGACTCTTGCTCAGTGATTCCACCACTCATGGTGTGTGGGTGTTCTGAGCCACCCTGGTGTGGCTCCCCCTCACAGGACCGTAGAGGAGGAGTGACCCAGGCGCCCTGTTAAAATGACTTCTCGGCGGGTTCACACAGTGCCAGTGTGGCACAGGAGTTTTCAGAGCTCTCCTGGTGTGTCGCCCACACTCAGAACTGCGGGGTGAGAAACGAGGAGTGGGCAATTCACGCTATGGGAGTGGCACCTGTGTGTCAGGGACACACAGCGCTTCACTTCCCAGCTCAGAGCCCACATGACTCCTGCGCTACAGACGTGGTTGCTGCAGGCGGGACCGCCCAGCCGGCCCGGCGCTGTGTTCAGAGTCCTCCTGGTGCTGTTGCCCACCCACAGGGTATCAGGGTATCAGACCCTCGCCGGCAGCCTCTGTGCGCTGAGGTGCACTGGCCCACTCAGCGCAGGAATATCTGGGGCACTTTCCCTCGTGTTTTCTCAGCCCCCAAGACCACTGTGTGCCACTCCCAAGGCAGAGACCTCGCAGTTTCAAGGCACTTGCCCTGTATTCTCAGAGGCTGGAGCTTCTGCTGCCCCTGCAGGGGGAAGGGCAGAAGGAGCACCACAGGGGTTTGGAATGCAGAGGCTGTTAACCCTTCCTTGGCTCACCGAACCTCCGGCTGTTGCAGTCTGCTTCTGCTGCTGTTGAAGACCTCTGCCGGTGAGGATCCCTCCCGATTTCGTTGTCTCTGGGTCAGCTGCGTCTCTCGTCGGGCCATTCTCAAAGGTGACTCAGCAGGTCTGGAGCAGGATGTCGGCTTCTCTGCCCCTGTTTTGTTTCGTTCTCGTTGTTCTTCCGAGTTGTGTGGATCTGTTTGGCTCCACACTGTCCAGGGAACTTCACGCACCTCTACCTGCAGTTTTTTGCAGTTCCTCTTTGCTGCTTCTGTAGCGCTCTATCCCTCTCTCACTGCACGCTCCCTCACAGCCTTCCTCCTACGTCGGCCATCTAAACCCCTCCCTCGCACCTGTGATGTCTTAATCACTGTGGCAAACAAGCTGTCTGCCTCAGCTTTCTCATTCTCAAGGTGGCACATACAAGGCACATAACATAACTCGCAGGGTTGCAGTAGAGCTTAATCGAGACCAGGGTGGAGAGCACCCAGAACTGTAAATGACCTACAGGAAACACTCAGTGAGCTTTGCCAAGTATAGTCATATTTTACCAAAGAAAAATGCCCTTTCCTCAGTTTCCTGTTGAAGACAACATTATTCTCCCATACATTCAAAGTGAAACTGGGCCTAATGTTACAGTACAGTGTGTTAAGCCATCACTTGTGATGCCAGCATGCTCATATGAACACTGGTTCAGGTCCTGTCTGTTCCACTTACAATCCAGTTTCCTGTTAGTGTGTCTAGGAAAGCAGCGGAGGATGGCCCAAGTGTTTGGGACCCTGCATCCAGATGGGAGACCTAGATGGATTCCCAGCTCCTAACTTTGGCCTGGCCCAGCAGGAGTTGATGTGGCCATTTTGAGACCAAATCAGCAAATGGAAAACTCACTCTCTAAGAAATAATAAAACTGTAGCCAAATGCCAGCCTCCATCTCCTATTTATTCTTTTGTTCTTCCTCCAAAATGCTTCTGACTTTATCGCCAGGTTTATTTCTATTTTGGTCTGCTTTACAGTTTTTGAGCATCCATTGGTGACATAAAATGATGTTTTCCAGATTCTTCTGATATGTCCCAAGCTAAGCTCTCATCACCTCTCCAGAACAGCACTATCACAGCTTCCTGGGTGCTCTTCTGCACACTGCTACCTGCAACTTCCTAGGCACTCTGTTTGACTCCCACATGCCACAGTCACATTAAATTTCCCTGTGCATATTCTGATCAGCTTGGAGTTTTGAACTCATATTTTGAAATTTGATCTTTTAGGACATCCCCTAATTTGAATCCCACTGGTCATTGTAGCCTTGCTCTCCATAGCTTCCCTTCTGGGACATCTCATTATATTGTTTCCTTGCCCCATTGCAGGTCCAGTTATGCTTTCTTGTCTCTGGGCCATTGCTTATGCTGCTCCATGGACCTGAAACGCCCAGCCCCTTATCCATCCAACAGCTGACAGCATCAGTGTCTCATGAAGACGTGTCAGAATCACCACACCTCACACTTGCTAGGTCAAAATTTTTCCAATGATCCCAAGGTGTCGTAGTTGAGTCTTAGTGCAGCAGGAATGGCTCAAGTAATTAAGCCATGGCTTGGGAAACCCATAGCCCACACAGGAGTGATTGAGTTTGAGTCTCTACTTTGATTACAAGTCTAGCTTGCTGCCACTGCACCCTGGGAGGCAGCAGCTGATGGTTCCAGAACTTGGTCCTTGCCACCCACATGGGACACCTGGATGGAGGTTTTGGTTCTTGGCTTCAACCTGGCCCAACCCTGACTGTTGCAGCCATTTGGGGAGTGACCAGTGGATGGAAAATCTCTTTATGTTTGTTTATTTTTCTTTCTAGATTTCAAGTAACTAAATGAGTAAAGAGCATTTACATTATGATCAGTGCTATGATATATAGCAGGTGAAGCTGCTGCTCGCAGCGCTGGTCTCCCTTAAGAGCATCAGTTCAAATCCTAGCTGCTCCACTCCAATACCTGCTAATTTGTTTGGGAAAGCCACAGAAGATGGTACAAGTGCGTCGATCCCTGTATCCATGTGGGGGATTGAGAAAGAGCGCCAAAATTCTGTCTTTGCACTGGTGCAGCTCTGATTGTTGTACACATCTGGGGAGTGAATGAGTACATGGAAAATACTCATTGTCTCTCCCACCCACTCTTCGGAACTCTAATTCTCTAATAAATAAATCTTTTTTTTAAAAAAAAATAAAAATAGTAGTTGGCACGATGGTTCAATTAGCTAACCTCCACTTACAAGCACTGAGGTCCCATATGGGTGCCAGTTTTTGTCTCAGCTGCTCCACTTCCCATCCAGCTCCCAGCTTTGGCCTGGGAAAGCAGCAGAAGATGACCAAAGCATTGGGATCCTGCATCCATGTGAGAGACCCAGAGGAAGCTGGCGCCTCCTGGCTTTGGATTAGCTCGTCTCCGGCCATTGCAGTTACTTGGGGAGTGAACTATAAGAAGATCTCTGTTCCTTTCCTTTCTGTAAAATCTGCCTTTCTGAATAAAAATAAATAAATCTTTAAAATGAAAATGCAAGTTAACTAATAAAAATGCATAAAAATGGTCCTGGCTTTGTGTCAAGAACAAAACATCAATGCGTGAAATTTTGCAAGATAAAGAATCTTATACATTTATGTCATATCTTCTTTATCATTAGAGATTCCATTCTCTTCCCCTCCCCTGACCTGTTAAGATTCGCTCTCTGCATTTCCCGTGGCTGACTCATACCAGCTTATGGCAAACAGTACTTCCCCTAGGCTAATCCCATTGTGTCTCCTTTTCTTACTAGACTCAGCTGAGCACAGAACCATTCGCTGACAAAGCAGTACCCCATGCCTCCTATCTCTGGCTTCAGTGGCTGTGGTCAACCGCAGGCTAGAACACAACACACAGCAGTAAGGGATGTCAAGAGACAAGGATGAACCATATTCCTGGAATTTTCATTCCAGTTTATTGTTCCAGCAAATCGGGTTGTTGTTAATACCTCATTAATGAACATAACACTACAGAGTTAAGCTTTCTCTGAAGCTTCAAGAATCACGGGGGAGTTTAGCACACATTTAAATACAGTTAAAGAAGCTCTACTGTGCCCTGTAGAATCCTCAAATTAGACATCAAATTACAAGACAGAGTTGAGCATTTGGCTCAGCTGTGGCAAGGCCACTTGGGGCACTCACACCCCCTCTCAGAGAACCTGGATCCAAGTGCAGGCTCTGCTGCCAATCTCAGGCTCCTGACAATGTGTGTCCTGGGAGACAGGCAGGGAAAGCTCAGGGATTGAGTTCTTGTGACTCTGTTCCTGACTCCAGAGTAGGACTCCTGAGTCCAGCCCTGCCCTGGTGGGGAGTGAGACCTCAGGGAGGGAGCAGTAACGCAAGAGCTCTCTTTCTCTCTCTCTCTCTCTGCCACTCAAATGTGAAAAAGAAACTTTGAGAAATAACATTTTAAAATACCCAGAACACAGACTAAAACAAGAAGATGCCATGCTTTATTTACAGCCGAGGCAGTGCCATTGTGTCTATTAGTCACTGTAATTCAGGATCTGAGGATGATGGGATTTCTCAAACTGCAAAAATTCCTGAGACTGGAAAGAAAAGTTCATTGGCCCCAAGAGATGACCCTAAATTTTAAAAAACAAGCTTCACAAGCATCTAAATGTCCACAAACACAGGATCCATTTTCAGAATAGTCACATCATCTTGAAAACTAGTTTTACAATTTTTCATGTTTGGTGAGGATTCCTAAGCAGGCTCAGTGATGAGCCAGAAATGTGTGCAGGACCAGCAGCAGCAAAATTGGATGACACCAATGTCCCTCCCCTTCATAGCCAAGAAAGAGGGGGAAAACCAAAGAGAGTCTGGGCTCCCTGAGGCCCAGATATGGCCCAGGACACAAGTGCTCTTGGCCCTTGCTGCCAGGAGTACCAATGGCTGTGAATGTCCTCACAGCAATTTTTTCTTAAGATTTATTTTTATTGGGCAGTCAGATATACAGAAGAGGAGAAGAGACAGAGAGGAAGATCTTCCATCCGATGATTCATTCCCAAAGCACTGCAATGGCTGGAGATGAGCCTATCCAAAGCCTGGAGCCAGAAATCTCTTCTGGGTCTGCCACACAGTTGCAGGGTCCCAAACCTTTGGTCTGTCCTTGGCTGTTTTGCCAGGCCAGAAGCAGAGAACTGGATGGGAAGTAGGGCTGTCAGGGATCCCAGTGCATTCAAGGCAAGGACTAGCAGCTAGGCTATCATGCCAGGCTGCCTCACAGCAATTTGTAAGCAGGCATCAGGCTTCAGCTTGGTGATCTGTGATACCCCAATACTCAATTCTGTAGCCACAGGCAAGATACAGCACCAACACTCACTGATTCATTCACCCATTTTCTCTTTCTCTCTCTCTCTTTCAGGCATACTATTCTGTAGTGATTCTTACACCATGTGCATATACTTCAGACTAAAATAAAACAAAAATTAGCTATTTGAAAGGAAAGCATGAGCCAAGAGTTATTATATGGGTGGTGTGGGCAGGGAAAGGGGCATTTAAACTGCCACCTGCAACATTGGTGTTCCATATGGGCATGAGGCTTGTGTCCTGTGTGCTTCATCTGTCTATTTTTGTGCCTGAGAAAGCAGTGGAAGGTAGATCAATGTTTGGGCCCCTGCCATCCATGACAGGGACCTGCATGAAGCCTTTGGCTCCTGTTTTTGACCTGGCCAGTCCTGGCTGTTGTGGAGTTTGGGCAGTGAGTGAATGGATGCAAGACCTGTCTTTCTAACTCTGCCTTTCACACAAATACTTAAAAATAAAATAAGAAATACACTAAGATCTAAAGAAACAGAAAGAGTGAGAAGAATAAAGAGAAAGTGCAGAAATTTGAGAATGTCAGTTGCTTGTGTTGGCTTTGATGTTGTGGGCCTGCCTTTGCCTTCTATCCTGATGTTATCTGTGGCACCTGCTTTTCCCTTTGATGCCACCATGACACCACTGGCCAGTTGCTCTGGTCCAACACAGTCCCAGCCCTAGGGAGATCCTGAATACCCCCAACTGCACAATCTTCCCAACAATACAAAG